ATATACCTATATTCATTAGCTTGATTACTGTGATTAGCTCACAATACAGTTTATAAATACATCAAATCATTAATTTTGACACTTAGATACATGAAGTCTTTATTTGTCAACTACACTATAATAAAGCTGAAAAAAAAAAAAACAACCCCATACATTTAGTCTTTGCCCTCAGATCTCGACACAGTGTCCAAAACTCTTGTGACTTCCTGAGTGATAGGGGTTATAGGAACATCTTTTGTTATTCTTTCTTTCTTCTTCTCCTTCTCTTTCTTATTCTTCCCMCCCCCCCCCCGCCCCACCCACCCAACACAGGGAATTGAACCGTGGGGCACTCTGCCACTGAGCCACATCTCCATTCCATTTATTTATTTGAGATGGAATCCCAAGAAGTTACCYAGTCTGGCCTTGAACTTGGCACCTCCTGCCTCAGCCTCCAGATTTACTGGGATTACAGGTGCCTGCCACCACGCCTGGTTTATCTTTTGTTATTCTTCACACCTTCCTTTCAACCACAACTTAATTTATGCTAATAAAGTGAGTCCTGGAGGGCCCCTAGGTAGCTTCAGGGTGGGGACTGGTTGCCAGAGGAATTAGTGAAGTGATTAGAGCCTGGGAAGTTTCAGCTTCTTCGGAGACTTCTGAGGAAATCTGAGGGGCTGAGATGAGTCGACCACAAATGGACAGTATTTAGTCAGTCATGTGTAAATAATGGAACTCTCACAAAAACCCCTAATCAACACACTTCAGAAAACTTCCAGGTTGGTGGACACAATGAAATGCTGGTGTAACAGAGGTCTACTTCAAGCTCTGAATACAGCTCTTGCAGTTCTGCCCCTGAGGCTTAGGTTTCCTGTTTTCCTCCATCTCTCAAATTAACAAGTGAGTCACAATCCCCCTCCAGGGTACTCCTGAAATCTAGCCTTTGAAAAGCTTCTTTAAAAACCCCAGGGGCAGAATCACAGCTTCTGGCATAGGGGTCTCCCSTGTTTCTCCTCTGCTTGCAAAGCAATAAAACTTCATTTTCCCTGTTTCTCAAAACTGAGTCCTCATTACTGAATTGGTATGAGGACAGGGGCCAAGCTTTCGGTGACACTGGGCGGGTGATTGCCTGGAGAGGACAATATGCCCTTCCCCCACCTTTTGCCCAGTCATGGCTTCCATTTGGCTCTTCCTGAGCTGTATCTTTACAATTAACCAGTAATAGGAAGTGAGCTGTTTTTCTGCATTCTGTGAGCCATTCTGGCAAGGTATCTGAGGTGGGGAGTCACAGTGTGAAGTAGCTACTCAGCCATGAATGGGTGAAGGGAGACTGAAAAACCACAGGGATCCTAACCCAACAGATAGGCACCTGGAAGATGGGGGTTTGGTATATTAAAATCTCCCCCAGGCTTAATTAAGGAAAGATACCTTTAGGACCCTGTCATCCTTATTTCTTGTAACAAGGTCTCCAGAACTCTTCCTTTTCATGGAAAGTACGTGAGGACCCCTAATCACCCTGACACCAAAACGTGTAGACCCTCACAAAGAAAGCTTGAGAGGGGTTATTCAAATGATAATGACTTGATTGAGAGGGCAGGAAATGGAGGCAAAACCAGGGGAATTGCATAACAAACCCATTTATAGGACAGGAAATAAAGACAAAAACAGGAGGATTTAGTTTCTTTAAAAACTCCTCTTCTGGGCTGCGGATATAGCTCAGTTGGTAGAGGGCTTGCCTTGCATGCACAACCAAAAACAAACAAACAAAAAAAAAACCCCTATTCTATGAGTATCACACTGAAAAGCACCCCGTTAATGAAAGACCCCCGTTTCCCTGTCCAAGGAGAATCACACGGAACACTGGCTGCAAAAGCACGAGGTGGTTTATTGGGACACAGGCGCCTGCGGGTGCCCAGCAGAACCTCAGCCAGAGCTTTGGTGAACTGGCACACCGGGCTTGGGGATACAGAGATTTTTATAGGGTTTGGGACAGGTTTCGCGCGCGTACTTTCTCCTTTCTGAGAGGACCCACTCTCCCTTGAGGGTATCCCTTTTCCTTTTTCATATCACTTCTAATAAACTCTTGCCTGTAACTTGAGCAATATGCCTGAAATCTTTCTTGCATGATTGCAAGAATGGGATTTGAAGGAAGGTCTCCATACGGCCTTAGTTTCCTGGAAGTCCCCAGCACTGTCTCAATAGGAACCCTAGTTTATAGCTGGTTAAATGCAGGTGGCAATTGTGACTGGCATCTGAAGTGGGGGTAGTCTGGTGGGAGTAAACCCTTGAATTTAACAGGTCTTCTGAGTTGAATTGTAAGACACCCAGTTAGTGTCCTGAGAATTGGAGAATTTGTTGTGCTGGGGGTGGGGGGAAGGGAGTGCTGCATATTTAGTATAAGAAGTGTTGGTAAAGATGTAATGCCAGATTTGTGGAACCCCAATAGACCTCCAGGAGTCAAATCCGATGCAATCACACAAGAGTCTGTATTGCAAGCTCGAGCCTGGACTCACAACCGTTTCCAACACAGCAGTCCCAAGGAGTGAGTCCTGGCCCTTAGTTCAGTGAGGATTTATAAGTTTTTTGGGGATACTCTATATGTCACAGCATCACACAGCAAATTATTTCACACTGCGGAAAAATCAAACTGAAAGGGTAAAGTTTCTAAGCTGCAAGGCCTGAGTTAAAAAGTGAAGGACCAGGTATTGTTAAGTTCCTCTGCTACACCCAGAACCTGAAATTCCTGAGGCAGTTAAGACAACGCCCTACTGGCCATTTAGTTGATTAATAGCCTAGGGCCCTGTGCAGCTTGTCACATAAGCATACAGGGCCCGAACCAATCAGTTTGAATGTGTACCCCACTTAGGAGTGACCAATCACCCCCGCCCAACCTGTTCCCTCCAATGAATGTGCTAATCATGTATGAGAGTTGTTGTTCAATTTTCCCGCGCCTCATGCTGATTTGTTCTGATGTATGCAAAGCCCCCGCCCTCCCCAAAAAGTGTACTTAAGCACTGCTTAACCTCTGCTCTGGGCTCTGGGCTGCTCTCCCTTCTTGAGTGAGCCTGGAGCCTCAGCACGCTGAATTGGATCCTCAATAAATCCCCTTCTGCAATTGCATGAGTCAGTCTCTTGGTGGTCTCTTCCTCCCAGGCTTTGCTGGACCCTTACAAAACAACAACTCTTAGCATTGATTAGTACATTCATTGGCAGGAACAAGTCGGGTAAGGGTGATTGGGTAGTTCAAGTGGTGGATACATTTGAACTGATTGGTTTAAGCCTGGAGGTGTGTAGTGCTAAACTATGTGGTTTCCTAACTGTTATCAATCTCAGGAAACTACTGGGAGGGTCACCTGGCATTTCAGGTATTTTCCCTGTCTCACACTGCTTTGGTGGTTGCTAGGGGGTTGCCATGGATCTTCAGGGTCAGGCATTAGGCCCCCAGACATTCTTTGGTCTTTCCAGGTGTTGTAAGGACAAACGAGGCAAGGCACCCACCGAAGATAGCAGGAAACAGTTTTATTTGGCTGCAGCCAGGTTCAGAGGGTACAGCCTTTGCTGTAATCAATCAATCCGGGCCCAGAAGTTCACAGTCTGYAGAAGTTCACATAAAAGCAGCTTTTTCTTTCACTGTTCTGGGCAAGTTAACTCTTCAAGGACAACACCTGAGAAGGGGGGAGCTTCTTCTCCCCTTTCTTTCCTCCCCCTGCCAGCTGTTACCATGGAGCCCATTTGTAACTTATCTTAAAAATGTAGACATCTCTGTGAAGCCCAGCTCAAGGCCAGAGGCCTTGTTTGCACATTTCTTCAAAGTATTATACTGGATGGGTTTGTGATAACTAGTAAGGGGGTGTCCAGCACCTGGAGTGCTGGTATCTTCTCGGCCAGTGGCCAAGTAAACAGGGTGACATGAAAATAGGAAGTTTATCTACAATGGACTCTATTGCTGACAGTCCTAAAATCAGCCATGGTGAAGAGGGCTTTCCTGTGGAGAAAGGGGGTGCCACTTCACAGGAACTAGCATAGTGGAGTCAGGGACACCTGGCTCCACAGATCTCTCCTGTTATTTACAGACAAACAACTCAGCAAGGTGGGTATGAGCCTAGGAGGCTCTGTTGATTTTTCCAAGGACAAGGGTCATGCCCCCTCCCTTTGGATAGGCCTTGAGGTAGAAGCTGGTTTTTAAAAAATGGAGTCACATCAATTTCTCATTCCCCACTTTGTCTGAAAACTTGGGGACCAATCATGGTTCCCTAGTTGGGGGTCTGTTTGGGCAGGCCCTACATCTTGGTAGGATTCTCCTTCTGGGTCTAGGGTTTGATAGTGGGTACACAGAACCATCATCTGAACTGTGTTTACTCTGTCCTTGATGAAAACCACTAGCTTGTTCAGGAGTGGTCCTATTAAGGTTGACATTAGGGTAACTTTAGAGTAAACAGTAACCCTCAGGGGACAGTCCTCAATTTCCCAGACTCACTCAAAATTGGCTTCGTAGGGCTGGGGATGTGGTTTAAACGATAGCTCGCTTGCCTGGCATGAGTGCGGCCCGGGTTCGATCCTCAGCACCACATACAAACAAAAATGTGGTGTCCACCAAAAACTAAAAAAAAAAAAAAAAAATTGGCCTCCTGACTTCCCTATCAACACTGACTGCCTGTCTAATTCTGGCTTCAAAAATAGTTCAGATGGGGGTCCTACTACTGTAGGCCCGGAAGTGTTACAAACAGTGAGGACAATGAGAATACAGACCTGTTCTGAAACCTTAGGGGCGTTCATTCAGGCTTTGAAGCTCTGGAAAATAAGTGCCTCCTGCCAGGAAAAGTCAGTGTTTTCGAGAATGCCAGTTTCAGTGATGAAGAAGCACCTTTAGTGCTTTATGAGCATCAGACATTGAAGGAGCCACAGTAGAAAATCCTTAGAAAATTTGTGTCAGAATGTGATCCCATAAAATAGGTGAGAGTTTGAGGTCACAGAGATAAAGTCATGGATCAATTAAATTCAAAGAATCAGCACTGATCACCATGTCCAAAGGGGACTTAGCCCAGGTATGCAAGGCTGATTGAACATTCCAAAACCAACTGATGGCCATGGACATCTCATAGGGGTCCAYGGGGGAACTGCCAGAGCGCCCCACCCAGTGGGAAGCTGGATGGCGAGCTTCGGGCCGGGAACCTCTGGGTTGTTGGTGCAAAGTGAAGGATGAAGAGGTGCCTTCGAAGCAGGTGATTTCTGTAGGAGTGTTGCGTACTCGTACTTCTACAACAGGTCCATCCACCCAGCCAGCTCACCCTTGTGATATGTGGCCCCATCTTGAAAGATATTTTGCTCCTGGAGGAAACACACTGTGGACTTAAAACTTACACATGTGGAGCATATGGGAGATAGTTGTGGTTCACTGCAGACTTTAACTGGAACTGGAAACATTACAGTGTAAAGACACCTTCACAAAGAGATGAAGGCAATACTTCATTAGGGAAGAATTGCAGAGTGGGTGAAGAACCTCACTTATTAGAACACCCCTTTACATGTGAGGTGGAGCAGGAGAACTTCCAGACTAGCTTGGGCCATTGCTAACAAGAGATCAGCCATAATAAGAGGAAGACAGCCCGGAGAACGGCAAGCAGGGAGAGACTGCATATTGGACAAATGCATTATTAAGTGCAGTGAATGGGGGAAAGTTTTCAGTCACAAAGATAGACTTGTCCAGCACCAGAGGATCCACACTGGAGAAGGGCCATATGAGTGCAGTGAATGTGGAAAAGCCTTTAGTCAAAAAGACAACCTGGGCTGGGGATGTGGCTCAAGCGGTAGCGCACTCGCCTGGCATGCGTGCGGCCCGGGTTCGATCCTCAGCACCACATACCAACAAAGATGTTGTGTCCGCCGAGAACTAAAAAATAAATATTAAANACCACATACCAACAAAGATGTTGTGTCCGCCGAGAACTAAAAAATAAATATTAAAATTCTCTCTCTCTCTCTCTCTCTCCTCTCTCACTCTCTCTTTAAAAAAAAAAAAAAAAAGACAACCTTATTCAGCATAAGAAAATCCACCCAGGAGAAATGCCTTGTAAGTGTTGTGAATGTGGAAAATACTTTAGCCATCACTCTAGCCTAATTGTACACCAGAGAGTGCACAGGAGAGCAAGGCATCACAAGTGCAATGATTGTGGGAAAGTCTCCAGACACAAATCCACACTTTTACAGCATGAAAGCAACCATACAAGAGAAAATCCTTATGATTGCCGTGATTGTGGGAAATCCTTTGGCCACAAATACACTCTCATTCAACATCAGCAAATTCACACTGAGACAAAGCCTTTTGAGTGCACCGAATGTGGGAAATTCCTTAGACGAAGCTCTGACTTTATTGCACACCAGAGGGATCACACAAAGGAAAGGTCTTTTGTGTGCAGTAAATGTGGGAAAGACTTCATCAGAACCTCCCACGTTGTTCGGCATCAGAAAGTACACACAGGAGAAAGGCCCAAGGAGTGCAGTTGAGTTGTGGGAAGGCTACAGCTTAAGCTTCCACCTCATTTAGCACCAGAAAATACATACTTCAGGGAGGTTTTAGCCTGTCCACACAGCAGGATCCATCAGTGAGATGTCAGGCCTCACATGAACATTCACAGGCGGGAGATACCTTGTGGGGCCAGGTAATCAGGAAGCTTCCTGACTTCCTCAAGTTTCTGTCAAAACCCATGGCTGAACTCATCTCAACTTTTCCAGCTTAGTTACCCAACATCTTCAGGGACAGCAGGACTAGTACTCTCCAATGCCCAGGGTGAGCCCTGGGACATCTGAGTTCAGAGGGTCCTCATTCCCTTCTGTGTGACTAGTGTGGGTGTAAATAGGACCCATCTCTGGTGGCTTACAGATGTTCTCTTTCTTCATAGACATTGTTGATCTTACATAAAATTTGATTTTTATTTGAGACAGTGACTCGATAGGTTGCCTAGGCTGGCCTTGAACTCATGGGCTCAAATGATTCTCAGCCCTCAGCCCTCAAGTAGTTGGGATTATAAGCACATGCCACTGTGCCCAGCTTTTACTTGAAATTGTAGTGGATATTTTCAGTCTCCCAAGTCACCTAGCCTGGAAAAGTACTTGCTTCATATTGTTCTTGTTTATAATAGTAAGGCCTGATAATTTAAGCCACACACACACACAAAAAAAAAAAAAAAAAAAAGAAAGAAAGAAAGAGAAAACCAATTAATGTAATTCATTGCATCTAAATGCCAAAGAAGAAAAATCACATAATCCTATCAATAGATGCACTGAATTCATTAAAAATAACCCAACAGCTATTTCTGATAAATACTCTGAGTGAACCAGGAATAGAGGGGGAAAGTCCTCATTTAGATAAAGAACAATCTACAAAAAAAAAAAAAAAAAAATCTATAGCTAACAGCGTATTTAACCTTGAGAAACTTGAAGCTTTCTGCTAAGGATACCGGGGATGACGTGCTGTTTCCCTGGGTGTGAAGACTGAACACAGGAAACTCTGAGGCAAGCCTAGAAAGCAAGCTTTATTTAAAGCACACAAACAGACTTCCCTGCAGAGAAGGGATCCAGAGCTGGTGTCCAATGAAGTGGGAGTGTCCTGCCCCTATTATTTATTTTGGATTTTCTTTGTTATCCTGCCCTCTTCTCCCCTTATCTTGCCCCTTTCCTCTCTCCCTGCTGAGTGTGTGAGCAGCAGTGGCCAGGGTGACCCAAAAGGCCAGGGGGAAGGGAGGAAAAGTGGTGGAGTGATTGAGGCAGTAAGGAAACAGCCCAGGAGACATTAATCAACAACTCCTGCAACTCCGTGCAGGGAGGAACAATTCCTGGCATGGGGAAGGGTACATGGAAGGAGGAAGGGGAAAGAGCATTTGATTTCCTTTCCTTTCCAACCAGCCCCCCTTTCCCTATCAGACCTAATTTTTTATTATCTATACTTACTGTTCTTTTGTCTCCCAGCTTCACTTGAAGACCAGGAGCAAAACAAAAGTGTCCCTCTTCATTTTTCTTAATGGTGGGGGATCATGCATGCTAGGCAATAGAGCTACCATTGTGCTATATTCCTAGGCCAGACATCCCTTCTTTTTATTTTTTTTCTCCATGTTTTTATTGGTGCATTATAATTATACATAATGGTGAGATTCACTGTTACGTATTTGTACATGCATATAATATAATAATATAACTTTGGTCAATATTATTCCCCAGAATTTTCATGTTCGMTCCCTCCCCCTAGAGCCTTTACTCTATTCTACTGGTCACCCTTTGATTTTCATGAGCTTCTCTATGACTTTCTTTTCCTTTTTCCTTCCTTAGCTCCTACATATGAAAGAAAGCATAGGACTCTTGACTTTCTGAGTTTGGCTTATTTAATTGAACATAATGCTCTCAAGTGCCATCCATTTTTCTGCAAATGACATGATTCCATTCTTCATTATGGCTGAGTAAAGCTCTATTGTGTCCATATACCACATTTTCTTTTTCCATGCATCCATTGATGGACACCTAGACTGATTCCATAGTTTGAGTATTATGAACTGTGCAGCTAAAAACATGGGTATGCATGTTTCACTATAGTATGCTCACTTTAATTCTTTAGGATAAAACTAAAGATGGTATAGCTGGGTCATCTGGTGGTTCCATGCCTAGTTTGTTGAGGAAACTCCACATTGAATTTCACCGTGGTTGTACTAATTTATAGTCCCACCAATAGTGTAAAAGTATTCCTTTTCATCAACATCCTCTCTTACCATTTATTATTGTTCATATTCTTGATGACTGCTATTGTGACTAGAGGGAGATGAAATCGAAGTGTAGTTTTGATTTATGTATCCCTAACTGCTAATGATGTTGAACTTCTTTTCATATATTTGTTGGCCATTTGTATTTCTTCTTTTGAGAAATATCTGTTTAGTCCATCTGCATATGTATCAATTGGGTAATATTTTATTAATTCAGCACTAAGAACAAATGAGTAATCAAGCCACAAAAAGACCTAGAGGAACTTTAAATGCATATTACCAACTGAAAATAATCTATCTATATGATTCCAACTCTGTGATATTCTGGATAGCACAAAACTATGAGGAAGTAAAAAGATTAGTGGTTGCTAAGAGTTAGGAAGAAGGTGTAAATGAATAGGTGGAGCATAGGGGAATTTTATAGCAAGGAAGCCATTCTGTATGATAATACAATGCTGGATATATGTCATTGTATTTYGTCCCAACACATAGGATGTACAACACCAAGGGTGAGCCCTGATGTAAACTTTATACCTTGGGTGACAGTGCTTTGTCAACGTAGGCTTATCATTTGTAGCAAATATATCACGTTGATGCGCATGGGGTGAGTGTCAGAAAATATATGAGCATTCTGGTCTCTAATCCATTTTCCTCTGATTGTGAAACTGCAGCCAGACACAGTGTTGTGTTTGTAGTCTCAGGAATTCAGGAGGCTGAATCACCAAGACAGAGAAACAAACAAAACAGAACAAAAACCAAACCAAAACAGAAAAGAAAAGAAAAACACTGCACTAAAAAATAAAATCTATTTAAAAGGGGGAAAAACTAAAGACATTCAATGAAGACATGAAGAGACATGTACTCAGATTGGTGTGAAGAACAACATGGAAACCAGCGGCATAGAGAAATCAGATAGCAAGAGTGCCAGGATTTAGATCCCAGTTCTATTACACCCTAGTTGTGTCATCTTGGCCAACTTCTTCAGTTTCCTTTTCTGTCTTAAAGGGGACCCCTATCTCCTAGATTGCTAGTAAGACAAAATGAATTTAATCATTTAAAGTGTATAAAAAAAAAGGTCTGGTAATTTAATTGTATAATATRCATTAGCTATTATTATAGTAAGACGAAGAGACAAAAATGTTAATATAACATTTTATTAAGTCCATCATGCCAGGAAATATCAGACTAGGGAAAAAGAGATGGATTTCAATCTAATCACAAGCATGGTCCCTAAAATATGGTAAAAAATAGCACATTGTAATAAAATATGATCTATAAAATGTAGTCTCTTTTGATTTACTTACGTAAGGCTATTCAGTTGCATAATTATCGTTCTAAATAGAGTCATTCTAAAGTACACAGAAATGCCAAGGTTCAGGAAGAGTGTACTGTCACTATGCACATTATTATTATTTTACTCTCTTCATTTCAATATGGATTTTTCTATTGGTGTTTTCAGTTCATGAATCCCTTCTTCAGTGTTTAATTTCCCTTGAATTCCATTCAGTGTATTTTGAATTTCAGACCTTGAGGTTTTCACTTTTTAAGATTTTTTTAAAAATAAATGACAGCGAAATACATTACAATTCATATTACACATCTAGAGCACAATTTTTCATATCTCTGGTTGTATGTAAAGTATATTTATAATAATTCATGTCTTCATACATGTACTTTGAATAATGATGACATCACATTCTACTATCATTTCTAACTCCATACCTCCTCCTTTCCCCTCCCACCCTTCTGCCCTATCTAGAGTTCACCTATTCCTTCCACTTCCGTCCTCCCTACACTACTGTAAATCAGTCTGCTTATAACAGAGAAAACATTTGGCATTTGTTTTTTTTTTTTGGGGGGGGGGATTGGCTAACTTCACTTAGCATTATCTTCTCTAACTCTATCTATTTACCTGCAAAGTCATGATTTTATTTTCTTTTATTGCCGAGTGATATTCCATTGTATATATATGCCACATTTTTTTTTCATCCATTCATTCATCTACTGAAGGGCATCTAGTTTGGTTCCATAGTTGTGAATTGTGCTGCTATAAACATTAATGTGGCTTTGTCCCTGTAGTATGCTGTTTTTAAGTCCTTTTGGTTTTGACCGAAGAGAGGGATAGCTGGGTCAGATGGTGGTTCCATTCCCAATTTTCCAAGGAATCTCCAAACTGCTTTCCATATTGGCCGCACCAATTTGCAGTCCCACCAGCAGTGTATGAGTGTACCTTTTTCCCCACATCCTTGCCAACACTTACTGTGTTTGTCTTCATAATAGCTGCCATTCTGACTAGAGTGAGATGAAATCTTAGTTTTGATTTGCATTTCTCTAATTGCTAGTGATGATGAACATTTTTTTTCATATATTTGTTGATTGATTGTACATCATCTTCTGAGAAGTGTCAGTTCAGGTCCTTGGCCCATTTATTGATTGGGTTATTTGTTTTTTGTTTTTTTTTTTTTTTTTGGTGCTTAGCTTTTTGAGTTCTTTATATACCCTAGAGATTAGTGCTCTATCTGATGCGTAAGAGGTAAAGATTTGATTCCAAGATGCAGGCTCTCTATTCACCTCACAGATTGTTTCTTTTGCTGAGAAGAAACTTTTTAGTTTGAGTCCATCCCATTTGTTGATTCTTGGTTTTAATTCTTGTGCTATAGGAGTCTTATTAAGGAAGTTGGGGCCTAATCCCACATGATGAAGATTAGGGCCTACTTTTTCGTCTATTAGATGCAGGGTCTCTGGTTTAATTCCTAG